TAAACAAACTATACATATTTGGAAAGCTTATAACACCAGGAACACAAATCCAATTAAAATGTTTTAAGGCCAGATGAAAATTGTGATAATTGTCAAGTAAATGTTATATTTATACTGACAATTGTGAAGTTGACATAAAATTACACATATGATACCTAGGATAGGACAGGCTTATCTTTGCTCCGTGAGGTGAACGACGGGGTTCTCTACAACCAGGCTCGAAATTTCTTTTGAAAAAACTGACTGTAATTTAAATGGTACTTTCTAGAGTATATCCTGGTGTTTTTAGCTTATGCATATATCTTAATAATTCATCAAAAACGACATAAATTCATAACTACGCGAGAACATTGACTAATTTAGGGACCCCCGAAACTACCATACTCCTTTTAAGTGTCCATCCCTGAAAAGGGAGGCAAAAGATATGATGTTAAAACGATAATTCATATATTATTTTACAGTTATATATATAAAAAAAAATGTCTCCTTTTTATCCAATGGACAATTTATTGTTAGTTCATGTAGAAAGATATGGTGCTTATAAACGTGTTGCAAATTTCCGTATTACATGGTAGACTTCAACGTATCATATACACAATAGGTATTTATTTTACAAGTATAAAAAATGTTTCCGTTTTATCGAATGAACAATTTATTGTTAATTCGCGTGGAAAGATATGATGTTAAACATGTTACAACTGGTATATTAGTCGAGTATTTTACATTTTACAGAAAGTTTACGTTTAATCGAAAATTCCAATAAACAATTTATTTTTAAGTTGAAGGGAGTGTTCTACAGGTGGTAGACCATATTAAATGCTGCTTGAATGTGTATTTTCATAAACTTTGTATGCATATAGATTATTATACTGAAGGTTCGTCTGGATAGAAAATAAGATTTTGTGTGAAACAGGTGTCCTAGAAAAATGGGTTCACTAACATCAAATATCTGGTCTACAAATTGTATTTGTCCCTTCTAAGCTAATACCTGTACGGAACAAACCTTTCCGTTTCATCGAAAATTCCAATAAATAATTTAATTTTAAATTCAGTGGCTACGAAAACCCTATACATGATATATCACAAGCCCTACCTTGCATGATACTATAATAATAATAATAATAATAATAAAAACTTTATTTAATGAGGCAACGTATTTAGTTTGCAAAAAAACTAATCTTCCATAGGTCCCTCCTAAGCTACAAAGACATATATACATGTAATATCAGGATAAATTTAAAATCATTAGAAATGCAATAGCATTTTAAAGTGGGGAGTTTGATAAGTCACTCCCAAACTTCAAAACATATACATTATACAAGTAGAAAATAGGAAGAACACTATAATTACACACAAAATAAAATAGAATGCAGTTGCAAGTTAAAAACAAGAGATTTTTCAATAAAATAGAAATTTAGATAAAGTGGAGTATTAAATGTAATAATTTTGAATGCTAAGACAATTTTATTGTAAAGAATCCTCTGTGTAAGGGTAAGCCAACCGAGTTTAGTAAATAAAGAGGTGGACGGAGTTTCAATCGGTGCATCAAGAATAGTTCTTGCTGCCCTCTTTTGTAATTTTAAAAGAATAGAGCAATAATCAAATATTGGTAGTATGTAACTGTTATAAAACAAAATTCCTGTCTCGTAAGGTAAATGATCTTTTATCTTATTTAGGAGAAATATTTTTGATGCAAGTTTTTTTAGACATATCTGCTATCTGTGCTTCCCAATTAAGGTCTTGGTCAATTTGAATTCCAAGTAATTTTGCGGTAGTAACCGTCTCAATTTTCTCACCATGGAGTGATAAAGTTAGGTTTTTCTGATTTCTTTTGTGTTTTGATGAAATCGGCATTGATTTTGTTTTCGAAGGATTGATTACCATCCCATTGTTTTCACACCATTTAGCAACCAAATAGAGATAATTTTGGAGATTATTGGCGATGGATTAAATATCTTTGTGTGAACAATGCAGGGTACTGTCATTAGCAAACAAATCTATCTGACTTGATTCAATATTGAGTGGGAGATCATTTATAAAAATAAGGAAAAGGAGAGGACCCAGGATCGACCCTTGTGGAACCCCGCATTTGACTGTAGTAATTGAGGAGGTAATTCATCCTAAACAGACTTTTTGCTTCCATGAGTCAAGATATGATTCAATCAAAATTTGTGAATTATTATCAAATCGATAAAGATGTAGTTTTTCAATAATAAGCTTATGATCAATGAGATCAAATGCTTTGCTAAAATCAAGATACACTATACCACTCATCGCAACATTATCGATAGCATCAAGCCAATTATCTGTCATTCGGATCGGTGCAGTAGCACATGAATGATTTGATCTAAATCCAGATTGGTAAGCATAAAGAACATTGAAGGTTTCCAAATAAGTTTGAATTTGAGTGCTCAAGTGCCTTTCGAATATCTTTGAAATTGTGGGGAGAATTGAGATTGGCCTATAATTGTTCGGATCATCTTTAGCTTCCTTGCGGTCATTTTGGACATCGGACAGAACCCCAACCGAAAATGACGTCACAGAAGTGACATAATCTCAAAATTGTCTTTAGGGACAAATTTTGACACAGAAACAACCCGTCCCAAAATATCGTTTCGATTGTGACACACTAGCTAAAAGTTCACTAAGTTTGTGCCCTGCCTCGCCGACGTTCAACATTTTAAATTTGACAGTCTACTTACGACTTTTGTTGAGTTTGCGGCCACCGCAGCTGTATAGGGAGGACCACTGGGCGTATTTATTTATGCTAATTGAATAACTTAAGAAGACCACACACATAATTTGGCTAAAATTACTCTGAACAGGATTTGGTAGTAAACTTATAAAATAAATCATGAAAACCTGGGAAAATAAAAATGCCAAAAGGTTGCTTTTTCCAGAATAATCTGTTGATTTGGAAAATATATGATTCATTCAACAACAAGTATCATACAGCACCAGAAGAAGCATTTTCTTGTGAACATTGTGAGCCACATTCCATATCCATAGGTCGATCTTTTCATGAGTTATGAAGCTTTTCCCGATGCGCTCAATTTCAATGAAATAACGGCGGCCATCTTTAAAGATGGCCGCCAAAATGCAATTTAGCAAAGTAACCCGGAAGTCCATCAACCAAATTCCAACACTTCAGCCACCAGGCTAACTGAAAATCATGGTTGAATTTATTCATCAAATTGGTAATGATGTTCCAAAATCCCAGGTCTGTCACATGGACTAGTAGGCGTCCGCGGGTTTAGAGTGTATATATCTAAACGACCTGCAAACTTGTTTAAATACATTTAATTTTAATTTTGACAGCCCAGATCTTGACTCGCATGAAATATCTCATATTCTTTTTGCAGATGATCTTGTTCTGTTATCAACATCATCTGTCGGTCTTCAAAATTGTCTTGTATGTCTCAACTCTTTTTGCACTGATTGGAAATTTAATATAAACTCTGCAAAAACGAAAGTGATGCTTTTTAATAACAATAAGATAAGTCTGAAAAACAAATCCCAATTGAAATTCTTTTTTAACAATCAACTGCTCCAAACTACTGATGAATATCTATATTTGGGAGTCTATATAACGAATAACGCATCCTTCAAAAGTGCGATAAATGAATTAAGTAAAAAGGCTAGGAGGTCATGGTTTGGTATCCGTCAGAAAGTGTGCACCGATGATCACCTGCCAACCGAAGTACTCATAAGACTGTATGAAGCAGTAGTGAAACAAATAGCTCCGTATGCCTGTGATGTATGGGGGTCGCAAATAGTACATAGCAGAAATGTGAATTTACACAAATGGAACTATGTGGAGCATAATAAAATCGCAATAAAAACTTGCAAAACCATTTTACTCCAACCAAGAAAATCATCAAACATAGGATCATTGGCTGAACTAGGTATCTTCCCAATTCAAACTGATATTTACCAACGAATGTTGCTATTTTATAAAAGATTAAATACACCCGACATAAAACGTACAAATCCTTTACTATCCGCCGCATATGTGGAAGATGTAGAAATAGGCAAATCAAATCCCAAATTATCATGGTCAGCAGCAATATCCTCCCTCATGGACCAGTTCAACTTATCTCCCTTGCAACTTTCAAAATCTAACATTCAAACGGCCATAAGGTCCCAATTCAATACTATTTATAAAACCGAATATATTTCTGGCAATTCAAAACTTAGAACTTACGGCACTGTAAAACCTACTATAGACTATCCAGCTAATTATTTGCTTCATGTACACAATAAAAACTTCAAGTCTGCTATGACCGCACTACGATTGAGTTCCCATAAACTAGAAATAGAGAGGGGCCGGTACAAGAACGTCCCCCTGATATGAGACTATGTGCACTCTGTTCCCTCTCTAAAGCAGAAACCGAATTTTACTTCTTAATTGAATGTCCACACTATCAATCTCTTAGGCTAAATATTCTTTCTGCTACATTCAGTAACAACAATTTGGCCATAACGTTTGAAAATCTATTTGACCCTCCCCCTTCAGTTTCTGTGAGTGTATGCCATTATATATATAAAGCATTTCAACGTAGAAATCAAGCCTCGACCTAATAAGGTATTACAAGGCAAAACTTCACATTTTATTTTTTTTATCCTTTTGACATCTATACATTTTTGAAGTAATGTTTCTGATAGATATTTTCACTTTTAACATGAACCTATGTATTTTATGTTTAGTATTCTTATAAATATATATATGTATATTGCTATTTATTTTTTGTCATCTTACTTATGTCATGTATATGAATTGTATGCGGCCTGAAATGGGTGTTATGATACAATAAAATCTTATCTTATCTTATCTTATCTTATCTTACTCCCCGGAACTAACATAGCGGTCGTCGCTCTGTCCCGGCACAAACCTTTAACGTTGTAGTCATGGGGGTCACGTGATCAGTGCGGACTATAGTTTCTATAATATATAACTCTATGAGCGCAGTCTAATTTATGATCACGTGACTGGACGTGTTATTGCTGTATCGTGAACTGTTCCTGAAAATACATATGAAGGGTTTGGCGTGACAGCTAAAAAAATTAAGAAATGGAAGCTTTTGTGAAACCAGATACATTAGTGAGGGGAATACAGGAATTTTTATGGAGTCCAGAGTTCTGGCTCCCAGATGGAGTTTCATGGCATCATTTGGAAAGCCATGACGACCCAAATGTTTACTATCCGAAATCAAGGGATATCCATTGGTGCATTGTTGTCGGCGTAGTCTTTATGATTGTTAGTTATGCATGCGAGAAGTGAGTTCAGGCTTAATTATACTGCTATTAATTAATAACGCCCAGGATATATTTCATTTCTGTGTAGGCCCCACGTCCATCTATCAATCCAGCTTTAGAGTTTAATTTATACTCGTTATAATATACATGTATTATATCAATCATGTTATAGTTTGATTGATGTTGAACACACGTCACTATTGACTATATATGTATCCCTATAATTATACAAGTAATGAACTTACAATATGTGAACTTTCCATGTACAGATAAAAACTTAGATGTGGAATACTGTGTGTGAACTTCAGATAAATCATTCCATCTATTGCTAAAAATTAATGTGTAGTGCAGGGGGTGCACGTGGAGTGGAGGGGGTGCACCCCTCTAGAGAACAAACATAAAAAACTAAAAAAGATGAATGTATACATGTCCTTTTCAGTTGAAGTTACAGGGGCGGATCCAGGAATTTTTGCAGGGGGGGGGGGGGGTCATTTTCCTGAGACAATGTATCTCCCCCCCCCCTCCCGCTTGGTTTCTATCGTCATTTTGGCATATATACATACACATTGAGCTTTTTAAACAGAGAAATTCAACACCACGTTTGACGTCAATTTTTATTATGAATTAATACAATGACTTTGTGATTCAATTTCATGGATGCAAAGCATTAATTGTGATATCACATAATGTCTATATCATTATCTCGTGCTTTGAGTGCCCATCCTGTCCCAAATCTGACGATAAAGGATAAAGCACACGGCCGAGAAACCTTTCTCATAAAAAGTGTTGATTTACAAAAAAATTTATGTAGCCGAGCAGGGGGGGTTTCGACCCCCCAACCCCCCCCCCCCCCCTCTGGATCCGCCTCTGAGTTAGCCATGAGCCAATTAGCCCAGTTCGGAGCAAAACAGTAGGACGTTAAACCCCATATCATTTCATTTCCAATTTCCCCCTGTTTTGATCAATGCTAAGATGCTAATTATTCATGGTCAGGGCCCCATTATGGCACAGGGAATCAGGTCATGTCCTAGGGCCCTTGGCGTTTAGGGAATCATTCTCTGTGTTTCCCTAAGCTCTTGCTTGGTTCAATAAATTCTCTAAACAATCTACTGGTACGTAGAGCCCTAATAATAATAATAATAAAAATAAATACTTTATTTCAAAAGGGTTGAAAATTACATGTAGGCCAATGACCCTTCTTACATTTTGCCCTTTAAATTTAAACAATGAGAACATATGTACATTAATAAGATAGAAAAGAGATAGAAATTTATACATTAAAAATATATGTATACATTATATATATATACTGAGCGCCATGGAAAACGCATCACTTTTTTTCCCAAATATTTTATTACTAGGTGGTTTTGTATGTATAATATTATGCAATACTATGAACTATTGTTTCACACAATGCTCCCAAACGCAAAAAATATCGGCCCGTGTGCACAAAAAAAAAATTGCACGAGATACACATGAAAAACCCAATATTCACATGCAGCATTGTGTTTGAGCCCTTTAAAAGCATGTTTTCAACTTAATGTGCAGTACATGAACTGTGAAACGTCAATCTGTCGTAATTTGTTGTTGGACGTGTGAAGGAATCGAGCTAGAGATGCCGAGACTTACTGAAAATCAAAGGAATGAAGCCATGGGAATGTCCAGGGCTGGCATGTCTACACGTGCTATTGCAAGACACTTCAATTGTCATCAGTCCACTATTGTAAGGTTGGTGGAACGTGTTCGAGTTACTGGATCAACATGTGACCGTCTATGTCCTGGTCCACAACGCGTTACAACCCAGGCTCAAGACCGCTACATCCGGGTCACTCATCTGCGTGACAGATTCCGCCCAGCGACTCGAACAGGTGCGCAGTCGTCGAAAGACAAGGACCAGTAAGTGCCAACACCGTAAGACGTCGTCTAAGAGAAGTAGGACTCCGTGCACGATGACCTTATGTTGGAGCTATCCTCAGGGATCATCACAGTCAGCGGTGTTTGATATGGGCTCAAGGACACCAGACATGGAGAAGAGTAGACTGGCAAAGTGTGCTCTCCAGTGTTGAGAGTCGCTTTCATCTTTATTACGCTGATGGCCGTCAACGTGTGTGGAGACGTCTTGGGGAACGTCTTGCAGACTGCTGCGTCTTCAAAACGAATCGATGGGTTGGGGGAAGTGTAATGGTGTGGGGAGGCTTCACATTTCATCACCAGACCACCCTTCACATTTGCAGGGGTCGCGTTAATGCTGTAGCCTACCGTGATGATGTCTTGCAACCAATTGTTGTTCCGATGTTCCACAACTTCAGCACTTCCAACAGGATAATGCACGTCTGCATACCGCCCGTTTTAGTATGGACTACCTGGCTGCTAACAACATCAATGTCTTGGACTGGCCAGCCATGTCTCCGGACATGGCACCGATAGAACATGTCTGGGATGAGATTGGACGCTGTCTGTATCGGAGACCACAGATGCACACCATTGCTGCTTTAGAAGCTGCTTTTGTCCAAGAATGGAACAATTTGCCCCAGGCCTTCTTTTAAACATTGGTAAATTCCATGCGACGTCGCTGCACAGCGTGCGTAAGAGCCCGTGGAGGACACACGCGCTACTGACATCTGTGTTGTACTTTTGGTTTTGACCCCTCTGACATTGTACCGTTGATTACAGATTAAACATCCATAAGTGTACAAATGTGTTGTTATTGATGTGTTCCCATTTGAATATTGTTCACAATAAGAAGCAAAATAAATAAGATGTTTACAGGATCATTTTGTTATTCGAAAAACTAAGTGATGCCTTTTCCATGGCGCTCAGTATATATAAAAAAAAACAAAAACAAAAACAAAAAGAAACAAGAAAAAAAAACCCCAAGACCCCCCCCCCCCAAGTTGAAAATGTATTTACAGATGTACACTTTTGGCACATAAAAGGTGCAACATGGCTTTAAAGACGATTGGCTGTGACAATTAATACATAATTGATGTGCAACAATGTTTATAGATTGTACGAATATAAGGTTAATCAAATCGGGTGAGAGACAGTAATTAATTTTCATTTAGATATTTAATCAGTTGGGCTCGGAAGGCCTTGCCGGATTTCAAGCATTTGAGAAAACATGGTAATGTGTTCCATAGGCGTGATCCACAGAATTTAATACTATTTTTGACTACACTAAGACTAGGTCTTAATACAATCAGTCGTTTATTAATGTTAGAGTAAGGGGTGGAATTATATAACAGTGTTTCAGCGAGGTAGTTTGGGCATTGCTGGTTTATAATTTTGTAATAAGCAATACAGCAATGGGTCGGGTGACAGTTGATTTATTTGACATTGATGGTAGCAAACACGAAAGGTGAACGATCCTTGTCTGTGTTCAAACGTGTGAAGAACCAGAGTCGGACAAGATAAGTTATGTGACTTATCGCTGTTGACTTGATGAGAGGCATAGACTTTGAAGGTATCATTGCAAAATTTGCAACGCTCAAATCTAGAAAAAAAGCTATGTAATTCCGTGTAACGTCACGTCACCTATCTAATGTAACCTAATGCAATACATGCAGTGTATAATGTACATACATATGCCACTGTGATTTCTTTTGATATTTTTTTATTTGATGGATGGATGGATGCCTGTGTAATAGACCCCATGAAATATTTTGGCCTAGGGCCCCACAAAATCTTAATCCGACCCTGCATGTTGTGTAATAATCCGGGAAATACTCTGATCGTGCATATATTGCCCAGGGAAGCATGGGCGTTTTCAGGAATTTAATCAGTGGGGCATCAAAGGTGAAGACAACGTCAAGTTTGATGTGAGATATGGGGCATTAAACAAGAATTTTATAAAATAAGAATCTCGGAGGCAAGATTTCTGCTCATTTAGGTGCATACATGGATAGGATTAACGTGGAGTGAGGCCAAAACTGCAGGAATATTTTACACATTTGTTTGTACAGTGTTATTTTGATGAATGTAGGATTGATTGAATCCAACCAATCTGGCAAATGACTCACATAGACTTTAATCAGAGGTTAAGAAATGTTAGAAAATAAATAATTAACATTTGCCGAACTTAATGTGTATCCCCCAAATAAAAGGTGTTCACAAGTGCTCAGGTTGACTAGGCTGCCCCTGTACAAATTACAATAAATATGAGTATCAAAAAACACCAGTAAGATCATCTGATGGTTGTAGACATTTTGTCACGGTTCAGTTGTCAAGGTAAAAAAAATCAAGAGACGATTAAAGCACCACCCAGGCCAAAAAAAGGAAAATATTCTGGCTGACTGACTCAATTTTTTTTTTTTTTTGGTAGGGGGAGGAAAGTTACAGTAACCACATGTACTGGTGTTATCTTTCTTGGCCTCTGTTTTTGACTTGGATGTCAGTGTAAACAACAATAAATTTAAGGTCAATATTTTCCACGTAACTGACTAAATTGGCTTTGAAGTTGTAAAATAAATTTCACTTGATAGTATATAACATACCAGATGTTACCCCTTCTTGTTATGTATTCTATTCAGAGACACTCCGATTGTTAACAATTTGTAATGATGAAGAACTATTTCTTTCCAGAATAAGATCTCTTTATTTTAAATGCACTGCTAAAGCTGGAAGACAAATTCATTTTGTAAAAGAAATTTTAAAATATCCACTCCAAACATATCATTGACATTTCTTACAGGTATATATTAGCTGATTATATTTTCAGCAATGATATAATCAGGGCTATCGGTAATTTTTCACAGTTGATTAGCAGCACAGCAAATCAAAAAGTCAAATTTTACTAAATTTGATTTGCAAATTTAAAAATTGATTTGAAGATTTTCAGATTCAACATAAAACACCTAAATAACAAGATATTACTTTAATTTTAATTCATGATTAGATTTCATTCTTAAGATTTTTTTAGCACTGCTACAGGTACATGTAGCTGTGACAGTTTGTGAATGTGATGTAGACTTTTGGTTAGATCTTATGTCTGAAGCCAATTCTTGGCATTGGCCTCCAAAGCACCACTCATTTTAATTCTTACTTCTTCGTTAGAAATAGAAAACCGCTTTCTGCTAGGTTTCGTAAAAATGTAGTCTTGATTATCCCAGCCTGTCAATCAAATGTAGAATGGTCAGTAGACTGGTTAAGCGACACTACTTTCAAAACAAGGGCACGTAACCTATTTTTTTACTCACATATAGGACACAGATCACCAAATATTCCTACGCTCTCACCCACGAAACAAGGGCCAAAGCTATTTTTATATGCCCACATGGAAATGTGGTCGTATATTGTCGTCGCCCCCGTCCGTCGGTCCATCGTCCACAATTTATTGTGAACACTCTACAGACTACATTTATCATCTGATTGTTTTGAAATTGATATATGTTGTTTGCTTTGGTGAGATGAAGAAGCCTATTTAATTTCAATAACTTCCGTTAATTTCTTCTGGAGTTATGGCCCTTGTTTCACTTTGTTGCACCTTGTGAATATCAACCGATATGTATGAAATTTATATGCATCATTTAAATTAGTAAAACAAAGAAGCCTATTGAATTTCAGCAATTTCCGTGAATAACATCTAGAGTTATGGCCCTTGTTTCACTTTGTTGAATCTTGTGAACGCTCTAATGACAACAGTTATCATCCGATCTGTTTGAAATTGATATGCATCATTTAAATTAGTGGAACGAAGAACCTATTGAATTTCAGCAATTTCCGTTAATTACGCCATGAGTTATGGCCCTTGTTTCACATTGTTGTACCTTGTAAATGCTCTAACGACAAAAGTTATTATCCGATCTGTATGAAATTTATATGTATCATTTAAATTAGTAAAACGAACAAGCCTATTGAGTTTCAGCAAATTTCCGTTCATTACATCTAGAGTTATGGCCCTTCTTTAACTTTGTTGAATCTTGTGAACGCTTGAACGACAAAAGTTATCACCTAATCTGTATGAAATTCATAAGCATCATTTAAATTAGTGAAATGAAGAAGCCTATTGAATGTCAGCAATTTCCGTCAATTACGTCTAGAGTTATGGCCCTTGATTTACTTTGTTGAACTTTGTGAACGTCCGAACGACAAAAGTTATCATCCGATCTGTATGAAATTTATATGCATTATTTGAATTAGTAAAATGAAAAAGCCTGTCGAATTTGAACAATTTCTGTAGATTACTTCCAGAGTTGTGGCCCTTGTTTTAGTTTTTAGAACCTTGCGAACCCTCAAACGACGAAAAATTATAATGTCATCTGTATGAAATTGTCTATTAAATTCCCCTAATTACCTACAAAAGAATAAATATGTGACAACCGTTGTGGACTGCTCGGACGATTTAGCTGCTGTGGGCGGATGTTTTGTTGACTTTTTGGTGTAAAATCGAAGAAAAGAGTTTGAAAATACATTTTCTGCCAGGTTTTGGTGAATATTCATAATTTTAATGCGGAAAATTTTTGTTGACTTTTTGGTGTAAAATCGAAGAAAAGAGTTTGAAAATACATTTTCTGCCAGGTTTTGGTGAATATTCATAATTTTGATGCGGAAGGATACAAGAGTTGAGAGGTTGGTTAGGTTAAAATGTAGGGCCTAAAATTGCATGTTTACTAGTCTCTACTTCCAGCTTAAATCGTCATAGCTTATTAAGTACAGCATGACCGTTTATTTAGTGACTATAAATGTTTGAAACTGATTTAAGGCTTGATGTATACAATGTATATAAATATTGTGGTGTAGTTGTTGAGATATTTGGAGATATTTATTTATGGTGGGGCACCTTAACCCTCTATTATATAGTATCATGAATTGTGTCTGGGTAGTTGAGAAGAAAATGTCACACGGGGAATTCAGTTTTTATTATACAATTTTATTTGATATTTTATACATGTTGAAAGTGTTGAGAAAGCCTTCTAGTCTTCAAAATGTGGATAAATTTTCGTGTCAATATCCAAAATGACAGGGGGGTTGGATGGCCGAATGATTAGCACGTGCGTGCTGTATCATAAAGCCTGTCATTGAGTCAACTGGCGTGGTTTCGAATCCCTGGTTGTACGTGACAAGGAGTAGGGTCGCCTGTCCAACCTTGTGAGTTTTCTCTGGGTCCTCCGGTTTCCTCCCACTGCTAAAGACCCCTACGCGCAAGCAAATTATTGAAATAAATTTAAACCATATGTTAGTCCCGAAATGACCTAGTTTGTGTCGAGTGGACGTTAAACCCCATTTCTCTCTCTCTCTCCAAAACGACAGGGATAATGATTCGCAGTTCCTGCAAATCAAAAACGTTAGATTTTAATTTTTGATTAGCATTGGACAAAATATGTATTGCAAATTGCGCTGCGATACTGGTTGTCGGCAGCCCTGGATATAGTTTGATTACCGACAAAAGAAGTAATATGCCATGACCCTTGTAGAATGCTCGGATGATTTATCTGTTGGTGTATGTTTTGTTGCCTGGCAACCGAATCAATAACAAGTATATTTTATACTCAAGCCACCAAAGGACAGAACAGCCTAGGTTTCCCCAAATATATAATCAATCACACAGCATACTACATATTTAAATCCATACTACATTTTTATACACCCACATTGTTTGTGACCACTCTACAGGTCACAATTTTTATCCGATTTCAATGAAACTTGAAATATAGGTTTATCACCCTAAGATCTCGGTTCCTTTCAATATTGGCATGTATCGGACTGTAACTTCATGGACTATGGCCTCTGATTGTACGAAAAATCAAGTTTTTAGCTTGTGAACACTGTAAAGGTCACAACTTGAAATGTATGTTTATAACCAACAGATCTCGGTTCCTTTCGATATTCGCGCATATCGGACCATAACTTCCGGAATTACGGCCCCTGATTGTACGAAAAATTGCGTTTTTAGCTTGTGGTCCCTGTAGACATCACAATTTTTATCCGATTTAAAAAAAACATGTGAATATATCACCATTACACACTAAGATCTTGGTTCCTTTTGATAATCGCGGATACCCAAACTTAACTTCCTGGATTAAGGCCCCTGATTGTTCAAGAAATCACATTTTTAGCTTGCAGATTCTCTAGAGGTCACAATTTTTTTCCGATTTTAAAAAACGTTTAAATACATCACCATTCCACCATATTGAACGATGAATTGGAATTTCGGGTAAATCGAAATGAAACTACCCGACAAAATGGCCGCTCTTTGTACGCAAATTGTGTAGAAGTGTGTAATATGAAGGTTGTGGACCCTCTAGAGGTCACAATTTTTATCCGATTTGGATGAAACTTAAAACATATCTTGATATCCCAAAGATCTCCGTCCCTTTTGATATTTGCACATTTCAGGCCATAACTTTCTGGATTATTGCCCCTGATTGTACAAAAAATCGCGTTTGTTTTTAGCTTGTTCTCTATCCATCTCATGCAAAATGTGGGTGTATCCTGCCTGGCAGCCGCTGGTTGTAATGCAGGAAACTTTCATATACATTGTATTTTAATTCTTATCTACTATTGATTGAAATATATGGGTATATTTTATCTTGATTGCTTTCTGTCTCAGCGCTCACAAAAATATATTAATGTGTGTCTTTAGATATTTAATTCCCCGGATATTACCGAAATGTATCGAGGATTGCCAACTGAATTTGTACTTTCTCATTACAAATTATATTTTGACCATGGGTAAGATTAATCTCATGCTTTCTGATATGATTTCAGATTATTTATTCGACCTTGGGCTAGATGGCTTGGAGTTAAAGGTAGACAAAAGCAGGCCCTCCCTAATAATGACTTGGAAAAGGTTTATTGCCTGCATAAAGGTACGGTGCCCGCATCTGAAGTGCAGGTAAAGAAGTTTATTTACTCACTGGATATTTTTCATGTGAAATAAGATAGAACCTATTAAAGATAATATAATTTTAACATCTTTTCAAGCAATGAATTAGTTTCAGAGTTATTACCCTGGTTAATTTTTATACGCCCACATTTTCGTCGCCCCTGTCCGTCCGTCCACTCTACAGGTCACAATTTTGAAATATAGGTTTATCACCCTCAGATCTCGGTTCCTTTCGATATTGGCATGTATCGGACTGTTACTTAATGGATTATGGCCCCTGATTGTATGAAAAATCACGTTTTCAGCTTGTGAACACTGTAGAGGTCACAATTTTTATCCGATTTGGTTTAAACTTGAAATGTATGTTTATAACCAACGGATCTAGGATCCTGTCGATATTCGCGCATATTGGACCATAACTGCCTGAATTTTTAACCGATTTAAAAAAACGTTTGAATTTATCACCGTTACACCCTACGGCTGGTTGAGATGAAATCGGACCGATTTTGATCCAATTTTTATGAAACTTGGAATGCATGTTTATATCCTACGAAGGCCCATTAGTGCCGAAAAAAAATATATTAATCCTTTGAACGAGTTAGTATCTCGTTTGAACGTATTAGTATCTCGTTTGAACGAATTGGTATCTCGTTTGAACGAATTAGTATCTCGTTTGAACCAATTAGTATCTCGTTTGAACCAATTAGTATCTCGTTTGAACCAATTAGTATCTCGTTTGAACGAAATAATTATCTCATTTGAACAAATTAATTATCTTGTTTGAACGAATTAGTATCTCGTTTGAACGAATTAATTATCCTGTTTAAACGAGTTAGTATCGCGTTTGAACGAATTAATTATCTCGTTTGAACGAATTATTTATTTTGTTTGAACAAATTAATTATTTTGTTTGAACAAATTAATTATCTCGTTTGAAGAAATTAATTATCTCGTTTGGACAAATTAACTATCTCGTTTGAACGAATTAAGATTTCGATTGTACAGAAGCGTGTAAGGGACATGCAGAACCAATTAGTATCTCGTTTGAACGAAATAATTATCTCATTTGAACGAATTAATTATCTTGTTTGAACAAATTAGTATCTCGTTTGAACAAATTAATTATCTTGTTTGAACAAATTAGTATCTCGTTTGAACGAATTAATTATCCTGTTTAAACGAGTTAGTATCGCGTTTGAACGAATTAATTATCTCGTTTGAACGAATTAATTATTTTGTTTGAACAAATTAATTATCTCGTTTGAAGAAATTAATTATCTCGTTTGGACAAATTAACTATCTCGTTTGAACGAATTAAGATTTCGATTGTACAGAAGCGTGTAAGGGACATGCAGAAATTGTGATCCTAACAGGTGTTTTAAGTAAAGATTATGTCATTTAATACATAAGTTCCTTACTATTTCTAGCGTTACCGTCAGTAGAAGGAACAACATTTATGAGAAGGAGAATTAGTATAGAATATATTGGAAGTTATCCACGTTTTAAAAGCCGAAAGCTGAATATGTTTAATGTTAGCCTGAATTAGGCAAAACATCGTAGTGAAGTCATTGTTTTATGACATGTATATGCTTAAACAGTCATTATGCAAGAGCTAAATCTGCCTATTGCAGGTCTTTCTGTAGGCCTTAAATGTTATATAAACCATTCATTAGACATTTATTAACATGTTTAAGTAGAATAGAACGGTTCGGCCATTTAATGATTTAATTGAAAAATGGTAAAGCGAGGCTAAGCCTCGAACAACCAGTACGGTGGTTACATTCCGTGCACTGTCAAACCTTCAAAGGCTAATATTGTCGCTCAGAATAAAGTAATTTAATGAAAATTTCAATATATTTATTTCACATTATCTTTTTTAAACTATTATTACAAGAACGACCAGCTCTTTCTCTAAATCTTACATAATTTATCTTTAATATTGTAAAGACGTAGATTTGAAACGCACCCAGTTAAGAAATAATTATGCCTAAGCTGAATTTTCGCTAGCTCAGTGAACAGAACTACAGGTATACGATTGCTTGTCAACGGGGTTTACATATTAATTGAACTTTGCAGTAAAGTATTATCCCAGAGTAAATTTATTCCTAGTGTTGACTGTGTTGCAATACAACGGATGTAAGAGGATTTGGGTGAGTTTCTAAGATAGAGGGGTGGTTGGGGGGGGGGGGGAGAGGAAACAACTAATTTGCGACGTCTACTTTAATGGCGCGAGTCTTGTAAGAAAAGTCTGTAGTCCTCGGATGACACAAAAACTGTGGATGACACGAAAAACCCGTGGAATACAGTAGCAGTATGCAAAATGAAACAAGCATAGTAATTGTGCCGAAACATTGATAACATTGCACCGGAACATTGCCCACATTGCTTTTCTCATCCCTCCCACTAGGGTCCCGTGTGGCAAAGCGACGCTGCTGTTGGTCGACCTGTTCGAGAGAACAGGGGACGTGAAACCAAGAGCCACAGAGGGGAACGATGGCTCAAGGTGAACCAAGAGGGAAAGGCCTCCGTGTCAGCTTTTGCCGGTAATCAAGTGTAGGGCGGTTAGAACAGCCGTTCCTCGCTTGAGCCAGCATTCCCCTATGCAACCCCCAGCTTCAAGTCATCTGTCCTAACGAGGAAGTCGGCCAACAATAGCGTCGCTTGTCAACAAGGTTCCCTCATGGGAGGGATGCGACGTGCAATGCGATAAATTTTGCGGCACTACTACTCCTGCTTCGTTTTGCATGCTGCATTCGAAAATTAGTTATTTCTTTTAACACTCCCACCTCACCCATCTATCTTAGAAACCCACCTAAATCCCCTTCCAAGGCAATCAACACTGGAAACAATAACATTAATCTTTAATATGTAAACATCGCTGACAAGCAATCGTATACCTGTGGTGCTGTTCACTGAGCTAGTGAAAATTCAACTAAGGCCTGTTTAAGCATATATGTCATAATATGTCATAAAACAATGACTTCACTACAATGTTGTGGCTAACCCAGGCTAACATTAAACAAATTGGATAATTTCCACGGTATTCTATACTAATTCCCCTTTTCACAAGTGTAGTTCCTTCTACTGGCGCTAACGCCAGAAATAGTAAAGAACCAACAATTTCTGCATGTCCCTTCCATGCTTCTGTAGGCCACAATCGAAATATTAATTCGTTCAAACGAGATAATTAATTCGTTCAAACCAGATACTAACTCGTTCAAACAAGATAATTAATTTGTTTAAACGAGATACTAATTCGTTGAAATGAGATAATTAATTCATTCAAACGAGATACTAACTCATTTAAACGAGATAATTAATTTGTTCAAACGAGATACTAACTCATTTAAACGAGATAATTAGTTTGTTCAAACGAGATACTAATTCGTTCAAATGAGATAATTAATTCGTTCAAACGAGATAATGAAGTAGTTCAAACTGTCAGACAAAATGGCCGCCCTATGTACGCAATTAGTGTGAACATCTGGTATATCAAGGTTGTGGACCTCCTAGAGGTCACAATTTTGATTCGATTTTGATGAAACTTGAATTGCATGTTTATAACCCAAAGATCTTGGTTCCGTTCGATAATCGCACATATCGAATCGTAACTTCCTGAATTATGGCCCTTGAGGTCACAATTTTTATCTGATTTAAAAAAAAAACGTGTGAATATATCACAGTTATACACTAATAATGGTTGCGTTCGAATTTCGTGAAAATTGGGCAAAACTTTAAATATATGTTTTTATCATAAAGATCTTTGTTCCTTTTGGTAATCACACATATCTGAACATAACTTCCTGGATTATGGCCCCTGATTGGTCGAAAAATTGCATTTTTAGCTTGTGGATTCTCTAGAGGTCACATTTTTTTTCCCGATTTTAAAAATCGTTTAGATTAGAAATTCCACCATAATGACGGTTGAATTGGAATTTCAGGAAAATCGAAATGAAACTGCCCGACAAAATGGTCACTCATTGTACGTAAATTGTGTATAAGTATGTAATACAAAGGTTATGGACCCTCTAGAGGTCACAATTTTTATCCAATTTTGATGAAACTTAAAACATATCTTTATATTTCAAAAATCTCAGTCCCTTTTGATATTTGCACATTTAAATATTATTTATTATTATTATTATTATTACAGCATATTTATAGTGCACCCTTCCATATAACATGTTCAGGGGCACTTTACAAAGTGACAATGTAATTATAAATAAACAACAAGATTATGGACATGTTAACGACATGTTAACGAGTCAGTTAAATGCCTGATTAAATAAATGTGTTTTGAGTTGTTTTTTAAAAGAATATAGAGATGTACAACATCTTAAACTAAATGGTAGGTTATTCCATAAAATAGATGCTTGATAACTAAAAGAGCGCTGACCATAAGAGGCTAGTTGAACAGTTTTGGGCTTTAAAAGTAATTTATCTGATGTACGTTATGTTTGGGCGGGTGTATCCTTAGACATCATATTGTGACGCTGACATATCCGAGCTGACTGTCACTTGCACGTTGTATCCACAACATATGATATATCGTTCTCATCCGTTCGTGTCTTCGTACAAACAGTGAACGAATTCACTCAAATTGGCCAAATTATCGCGACGTCTTCGTATGAAACGTCGAAGTCAGTTGACGCCGCATATTCTAGATTGCAGATACGAAGTTTCATTCCACTATGGACAAACGAGCTCTTAGAATTCTTTGATTGAATCAAAATTGTCAAAATTGAGGCAATTTCACAAGGTGTCCCTAAACTTTTGTTATAGACTGTAGAAAGTTCTTTGACATCCATTTTCTAGTTTCACTAATACAGTTCTCAAGTTTCAATTTTGATAAATTGAAAGAAGATGGACAATTAGGTGTAAATGAAATATATAATTGAGTATCATCGGCACACAAATGAAAGCTGAGACCATATTTTCTGACAATGTCACCTAATGGTGACGTATAGAGGGTAAATAAAATCGGACCAAGAACAGAACCTTGGGGAACCCCAGATGACAAAACAGATTCAGACGACGATTGACAATTAACTAAAATACACTGTTTTCTACCCACAGTATAGCTTTCTAAAAGATTTAATGCAGAGCCACAAATACCGAATTTAAATTGAAGTCTACGTAGAAGAATGGAAGGGTCCACCGTGTCGAAAGCAGCAGATAAATCTAATAGAATTAAAAATGTACATTTTCTATTATCATTATCCCTTAAAATATCATTTGAAACCCGGGTTAAAGCTGTTTGGGTACTGTGAAATTGTTTATAAGCACTTTGAAATGGTTCATACAAACAGTTATCATCTAGATGGACCTTTATCTGAGAAGCAATACATTTCTCCAATATTTTAGAAATAAAACTTAAGTTAGAGACAGGTCTGTAATTTTTAAAAACATTAGGATCGAGTGTAGACCTTTTAGTTAAAGGGGTAACATAAGCTTGTTAGAAAACGTTGGGAATAGTACATGTAGAGGATGATATACAAGAATTAATAATATTGGTAAAAACTGGAATAACTTCGTCTAGACAGTCCTTAAGAACATAACTTTCTGGATTATGGTCCCTGATTGTACAAAAAATCCTCTTGTTTTTAGCTTGTTCTCTATCCATCTCTTGCAAAATGTGGGTGTATCCTGCCTGGCAGCCGCTGGTTCTGATAATTACATAATTTGTTGTAATACTCTTCATAGTTTTGAATGTCTTGTAGATGCTCCCATTACATGTATCTCTAAATGGCTGGCCATGGGAACTTAATTTAACTATTATCTAATTCTTAATTTAGATATAGAATAAATTCTACCTGGATATAGAGTTCTCAACAGAAATTTTAAAAATTTGGTGAAATTATTCTTTGGGGCATATTAAATTTCTCAATTTTACTCATGAAGCTTTGAATAAAGTTCATTGTTAATGTTTTTAAAAACTTGCTGTTTGATATTAGAGCTAATATGAATGTTTTTGTTGCAGGATGTTTAAAAGGATTGACCTTCTCGGCCAAAACATTATGGTATATATAATTTCTATTTCTAGAGTTTATCACAGCAACTTAAAATGCGAGAGATAGATATTGAAAAATGGCTGGCACATCGAGCACAACAAAACCGAGCAACCACCAGGGACAAGTTCTGTGAATGCTGGTATGTTTAATAAAACATTTTGAAAAACATGTACCTGTACCATTTGAAGTGCTTAATGTTGTAGCACACTGCATGTTTACTCTTTCGGAAGTAAGGTGTGTTTAAGCATTGCAAATATACAATTATTACGATCGCTGGGGAATGGATAACAAATGGTTTGTGCCCTTTTATAGTTTTATTAATGGGGTGTACTCTATTCTTCTGTTGTCAGCCTTTTGGACAAAGACTTAGTTCGTCACTTTATTTTCCTTTGTGTGAGGTGTGTCAACAATTTACACTTTTGAAATGTGGATAAGATTTACCGGTATAGGTAATAGATGATTTAGATTTGCTTATTTGAAGAATTGCCTTACTACTGGGAAAGCTCACAGAAGCTTAAATAGGCTATCAATATTAAAACTTGTATTTTTATGCTTATTGCATTTTTACTCTTAATTGAAAAATGAGTGAAATGTCACTGTCTTCAGATTGACAATATATTAGATTTGTATAGTCATTACATGTAGGAGATTTAGAGTGGAGTGCATAGGTGGTGGATTTTAACCCTATCAGGTATAATTCATGTATTAATAGATATATTTGGAGTACCTATTGACATGATCCAACCCTGTATAGTTAACACAAGAAAAAAATCAAACTAAAGACCTGAGCACACCATGGGTTAATACTTGCTTTCTGATGGTTTGTCTGCCAGGAGTGCACATATCATTGACAAAACATCAGGGACAGTTTGTTGGGCTATAACATGAAATGAAGACAAATCAAAATCTCTAATAGATAATCCTTGATGTGTGCACTCCTTTAATCACCAGTTATGTTTTATCATTCCAATATTCAGGCATACCTTACATTTTTCAGAAGCTACACATATAATATTACACCTTTGTAATGTAATAAATGGTCAAAAGCTTTCTCGGGTAGATTGTATGACAATCTCTATCTTCACACAGAAATATGTGATTTTCAATTAGACTTTTGAGGTTCTCTGTGTATGAAATTGTACTTTTAGAAAACCATGGTATAATATTTCATAATAATAGTCAAGTTTCTTTATATTATAATTGTAGTTTGAGCCTTTTGAAATTGCTCTTTTTGCAGTTGGCACCTTTTGTTTTATATGACTATGTTTATTTATGGATGTGTTATTTTATGGGATGTAAGTAATTTCTTATATATACATATATTAGTTTAATTATAAAATTGCACGATTAGGGCTAGTTTAGGATTCTAACAATAAACATAGCATGGGCATTGGTAGTTTTATTTTCAATGGTGAGATGCTTTTCTAATTTAAGCTATCATAGAATCAGAATGCTTAGGCTCTGTGGCTTTTCTTTTCATATGTCTGCATTACAATGTGAGACACAGTAATAGAACACATACAAAGAAATGTATCCGTTAATGATAGTACTGACATCTTCAGGGATAAAGAACTAAATACAAAATGAATGGATTTAGCTCTTTATCCCTGAAGAAGTCAGAATTTCTATGGATGAAATGCATCATTTGCTGTTGGCGTATATGTTCTTCTCTGACAGCCTATCTTTTCATTCCCAAACTAAAACATGCAGCATTTATGCATTTCTGACACTTAAATGTTGAATTTGTGCCAAGAATAATATTAGTAATCAATATAGCATGGCAGTGAAAATATTAGACCTATTGATAGATGATATGCCTAAGATATAGAAAATGTGTGTAAAAATTTGAGAATAAATTAGCCTAATTGTTTTGACTCTCTCTGGCAGTCAACCAAAAAACTAGATATAAAAATGTGTAAGGAAATAATCGCACATTTGGCATGACAATGGTGATGAGTAGGCCTATAGATAAATTTATTAGCCCTTCCTTGTGACATATCTTTAAAGATGATATAAATTCAGGTACCCTAGAGGTAGACCTTTCTTTTAAGAAAACATTTCTAAACCTTTGTCCATTTGACTGAGTGTGATCTATTACTGTAAGTTCACTAATCAATTCAGTTCTGAATGATAATGTCTGAAGCTAAATGTATATGTATTAAATTAATTCTGTTAGATTATGACTGGTTAGACTGATGTCCACCAGATGGGTACAATGACAGCTCCATCAGATGGTACAATGACAGCTCCACCAGATGGTACAATGAAAGCTTAATGGGTCTTTGACAACTGAACACATATTAATATAATTTCTCAATGTTATCAAGTAAAGCAAAGTGTGTTGGGAACTGAGATAGAAACGATTGCAATTTTGGATGTTTTAGTCTTAAAAATCACATCTTAAACTGATTTTTTGAAAATAATCATCAAAATAATTCTTCATTCGGATCATTTCTAATTGCGCCACTTTGAATCTTCGCAGTTGTGTGTTGTGGACATTGGCTAGTAATGCTGCCATTACCTACAAAAGAATAAAATTTTGAGGAACTGATTTGATTTTTTAGCTATGGGTGTAATTTTAGTTGCATAGAAACTTATCTGTTTGTCAGTAAAAGAAAATAAGATACCAAGCCTAACTGGGTACAAAGTCAAACCTCAACACAAGCTTAAACTACCAAGTATTTTTTGACTAATCAGAATATAGAATTTCCTAAAAATGAATATAGATCAGGGGTTTGTCAGGGTCCCTAATACACCCACTTGCAGCAAATTCAACCGTGCTAGCTCTAAATTTATGAATGTGATACAGGTCAATACAGAGTTTATTAAAATTTGGTAGGATAGAATAAAATGAAGAACTTTTCAGGGTTTTTTTTATATTGTAAATACTCAATTTTATCAGCAAAGCTTGTAAAGGGGACAACGTTGTCTATGCAACTTGGAGATTTTATTTATCACAAATAACTTTTTTTTTTCTCTGTTTCTGTTCCAATTTATGATATCTTTCAAGCTCGGTACAGGTCTTAGTTCTAGATGAATAAATTTTTCTGATGGTTTTATTGCAGAGCTTTCTTTTCCATAGTGTTTTTTTTTCAGAGGTAGAATGGACAATTTGCTGTTGGTGAACGTTATCTTTCCTTTCACATTTAGATTTCTTAAGCTTGGAACAGAGTTCATAGTAGTTTTGTAATTCAAAGGGAAGGGGGTTTGGAAAGTTTTTGTGTATTTATTTGATAACTAACTGCATGTGGAATGATATATGTACATGTACCTTAAACTCATTGGCAACCATTAGTCTATTTAAAGGGGAAGACCATAGATAAAAGGAGTTCAAGTATTCAAATCAAAAGATGAAATGTGAAGAAATGGTCTATTTAATTACCATGTCTAAAAGTTTCACATAAAAATATTATTGATTATAATACATTGACAATGAATTTGACAAATACAAACTGCTGCTGGGTTCAATTCGTACATTAGATGTTAATGTGTCTGTGAAATTAATTAGATCAGCATAAAGTCTATTATCAACAAGATCAATTCTAAGCAATTGCTGAATTAGACTTCTGAAAACCCTTCTTCAGAAATTCTGATGCGATTTACATCAATATTTGTATTCCTTGTGGGTAATATATGAATCCTGGTGTTACCTCCTATGCTAACCGGTCAGATCTATATGGATATGAGGCCATTGAAAGTATAAAAAATCAAAATGAATTTTAGATCTATTTCTCACCCAATTATTTCATGATAAGGTAGTACATGTATAAAAATATTTATTCACTGATTAATTTATGAAGATCCCCAATTATCTTCCCAATTACGTTCATATGTATGACATATTGTTAACAGGGCAGTTCTTGATGAAATATTTTAAAACTTGGTGTGGTGAGCTTGTTTATTTGAGCAAAAGGATCAACCATATCAGTGAGGAGGGGAACACCTTGGTAAATTATTCATGTACTGTATGTGTGTACGGTCCTGTGGGGATGCTGGAAAAAATGTGAATGCCCTGTCCCCCATCCAGATTGTAAGCTGTAAAAGTTGCTGAAATATATAAATATATATGTATTTTATGTTTCTTAATTTATTTTCAGAAAGACTGGATGTATGATTCCAAGTTATTCTTTAAAGACTGGCCACATGTGAGTTGACAACATATTAAAATACCAAGTACTGGTATAAAATACCAGATGTACAACAGGCTGTACTACATTATATCATATTAAATAAAACTGTGGATTCTCATTTAGATATATATAAGGCTGTTGAGACCTTTGATCTTAAATTTGATCAAAGTTGCTCTGAACTCATTAATCAGTTTAGACACTGTAAAAATAGAATATTTTTCCCAAACCCATCTTGAAACATATCAACAGCCTGTACATATTATAGAGCACATGTCAAAGTTATTAAACATACATTATGCAAGAGCTAAATCTGCCTATTCCAAGTCTTTATTTAGACTTCAGATGTTATAGAAATTATTAATTAAGACCTTTATTTACATGGCAAGCTCAAAATCAGCTCTGTAGACCCTAGGATGGCTGGATACAACTTGGATTTAAACAGTCGTCCAATTAAAAATAAATCGATAAATGGTGGACGTCAATACCAGAGACTTCCAATGAAAGGCCTTCCAAGTGAGGGTACCATAGCCACTGAGAATGTTACTTGATAATCGAGAATATGTGGGTGGTGTTATCATCTGTCAATCAAAAGATCGGCAAATGGGGTAGATAGTGCGGACACAGTTGATGCCTATTTCTAGTCCAAACTTCCAACAGTGACAACTCAGTTCAGAATAAAGTAATTTGACTGAAATTTTCAATATTTTCTTTTTTTTTTATCATCTATTATTGAATTATTGTCCCCCGCCTTTCGAAGAAAGAAATGGACTATTAAAATGGGTTCGTCTGTCTGTCTGTCCGTCCGTCTGTCTGTCTATCTGTCCGTCACACTTTTTGGGACACAATAACTCTCTTTCTAATTGAGCTAGAATGTTCAAACTTGGTATAGGTGTTCAATAGGTCAATGCCTTGATGGAGTTCGAAGATGAGCATTTTCGGCTTAGGGTAAGCAGAGATAAGCAATTTGATTGGTTGATGCTTTGGGACACGATAACTTTAATTCTAATTAAGTGAGAGTGATGAAACTTGGTGTATAGTTTCATTACATCAATACCTTGACTAAGTTCAATAATGAGCATTTTCTGCACAGGGTAAGCAGAGCGATAAGCAATTTGATTGGCCGAGACTTTGGAACACAATAACTCACCTTCTAATTGAGCTAGAATGTTCAAACTTTGTGTAGGTGATTATTAGGTTAATGCCTTGATGAAGTTCGAAGATGAGCATTTTCTGCTTAGGGTAAGCCGAGATAAGCAATTTGATTGGTTGATGCTTTGGGACACGATAACTTAGTTCTATTTAAGTGAGAGTGATGAAACTTAGTGTATAGTTTTATTACATCAATACATTCACTAAGTTTGACAATGAGCATTTTCTGCTCAGGGTAACTCACAATAACTCACCTTCTAATTGAGCTAGAATGTTCAAACTTTGTGTAGGTGTTTATTAGGTCAATGCCTTGATGGAGTTCGAAGATGAGCATTTTCTGCTTAGGGAAAGCAGAGATAAGCAATTTGATTGGTTGATGCTTTGGGACACAATAACTTAGTTCTATTTAAGAGAGTGGGATGAAACTTGGTGTATAATTACATCAATACATTGACTAAGTTCGACAATGAGCATTTTCTGCTCAGGGTAAGCAGAGCGATAAGCAATTTCATTGGCCGAGACTTTGGAACACAATAACTCTCATTCTAATTGAGTTAGAATGTTCACACTTGGCGTAGGTGTCAATTAGGTGAATTCCTTGATGGAGTTTGAAGATGAGAATTTTCTGCTTAGGGTAAGCAGATTTGACGGATTGGTGATAAGGAATAGGTTACTTATTTTTTTAGGTGTAGTTTTGCTGGATTGCAGCAAAACTAAGGGGAACAACTCTCCTGACTAAAGCTCTTGTTGTTGGAGGCGAATTTGTTGTCGCCATTTTTCCAATTCACCAAATTGTCATTCATTTCTTCACAGGTTTTTCGAATCATCACTTGACCCCTCAAAGAGAGACAGGTGAAGGTACTGTGGGCAACACAGAGATAAGCAGTTTGATTGTTTGATGCTTTAGGACATGATAACTTTAGTTCTAATTAAGTGAAAGTGAGGGCACTTGGTGTATAGCTTTATTATATCAATACCTTGACTAAGTTTGATAATGAACATTTTTTGCTAAGGGTAAGCAGAGTGATAAGCAATTTGATTGGTCGAGACTTTGGAACACAATAACTCTCCTAATTGAGGTAGAATGTTCAAACTTGGTGTAGGTGTCTATTAGGCGAATGTTTAAACTTGATGTTGATGTTTATTAGATGAATGTCTTGACTGAGTTCAATGATTAACATTTCGAGCTGAAGCTAAGCAGAGGTAATCGATTTCATTTGTCAATGGTTTGGGACAGGATAATCTTGATTCTATCTGATAGAGAGTGATGAAACTTAGTGAAAAAAATAATTGTGCGATTAATTAATATGTTTCATCTATTTATTTTGCAATTTCGGCAGGGGACAGCAGCCTCACTGTTGGCTTGTTATAGCAAGAATGGCCAACTGTTTATTAAACTATGAATTAATGTATTTTTTAATTCAACTCCAAATTATCAATGTCAGTTTGCTTCCTTGAACAGGTGATACAATGTGTAGGCTATAGTCCGGTAAAAAATTTAAATGACCTAGACAAATTGCAACAGAATTTTTCATGACGGAATCCGGTAGAGAGGTCCCTGAAGGTCTCCCAAACAAAAATCGCCCAAAATAAAAAGATAGGTTTTCGAGTAATTAGCATAGATCCAATATGGCCACCATTGGCACCTTAAAACTTCAATATCTCGGGAATGGTTGAGTTTGGAGCGTGTAAATGTATTGCGGGTAGATAGGAAAGTGGTAAAGATGACTCAGAAAAAACATAGCTAAAAGACTTTCCTGTGATGTCATACTGTCATACGGCCAATGATTAGCATAAATCCAATATGGCCGCCATTGCACCCTAAAACTCCAATATCCCGGGAATGGTTGAGTTTGGAGGATGTAAATGTATTACGAGTAGATAGGAAAGTGCTACCAAAGAACTAGAAAAACAATGCCAGGTGACGTCCTTGTGACGTCTTATGTCAATCGGCAACAATTAGCATGATTCCAAAATAAAAAGATAGGTTTTCGAGTAATTATCATAAATCCAATATGGCTGCCATTGGCACCTTAAAACTCCAATATATCGAGAGTGATTGATTTTATAGGGTTTAAATGTATTAGAGGAAGATATGAAAGTGGTACCAAAGAATAAAAAAAGCCTAATCCATGACGTCCCTGTGACGTCATTAGTCCATGTGACAGACCTGGGATTTTGGAACATCATTACCAATTTGATGAATAAATTCAACCATGATTTTCAGTTAGCCTGGTGGCTGAAGTGTTGAAATTTGGTTGATGGACTTCCGGGTTACTTTGCTAAATTGCATTTTGGCGGCCATCTTTAAAGATGGCCGCCGTTATTTCATTGAAATTGAGCGCATCGGGGAAACCTTCATAACTCCTGAAAAGATCGACCTATGGATATGGAATGTGGCTCACAATGTTCACAAGAAAATGCTTCTTCTGGTGCTATATGATACTTGTTGTTGAATGAATCATATATTTTCCAAATCAACAGATTATTCTGGAAAAAGCAACAAATTATGTGTGTGGTCTTCTTAAGTTATTCAATTAGCATAAATAAATACGCCCAGTGGTCTTCCCTATACAGCTGCGGTGGCCGCAAACTCAACAAAAGTCGTAAGTAGACTGTCAAATTTAAAATGTTGAACGTTGTCGAGGCAGGGCACAAACTTAGTGAACTTTTAGCTAGTGTGTCACAATCGAAACGATATTTGGGGGCGGGTTGTTTCAGTGTCAAAATTTGTCCCTAAAGACAATTTTGAGATTATGTCACTTCTGTGACGTCATTTTCGGTTGGGGTTCTGTCCGATGTCCAAAATGACCGCAAGGGAGCTAAAGATGATCCGAACAATTATAGGCCAATCTCAATTCTCCCCACAATTTCAAAGATATTCGAAAGGCACTCAAATTCAAACTTATTTGGAAACCTTCAATGTTCTTTATGCTTACCAATCTGGATTTAGATCAAATCATTCATGTGCTACTGCACCGATCCGAATGACAGATAATTGGCTTGATGCTATCGATAATGTTGCGATGAGTGGTATAGTGTATCTTGATTTTAGCAAAGCATTTGATCTCATTGATCATAAGCTTATTATTGAAAAACTACATCTTTATCGATTTGATAATAATTCACAAATTTTGATTGAATCATATCTTGACTCACGGAAGCAAAAAGTATGTTTAGGATCAATTACCTCCTCAATTACTACAGTCAAATGCGGGGTTCCACAAGGGTCGATCGTGGGTCCTCTCCTATTCCTTATTTTTATAAATGATTTCCCACTCAATATTGAATCAAGTCAGATAGATTTGTTTGCTGATGACAGTAACCTGCATTGTTCACACAAAGATATTTAATCCATCGCCAATAATCTCCACAATTATCTCTATTTGGTTGCTAAATGGTGTGAAAACAATGGGATGGTAATCAATCCTTCGAAAACAAAATCAATGCTGATTTCATCAAAACACAAAAGAAATCAGAAAAACCTAACTTTATCACTCCATGGTGAGAAAATTGAGACGGTTACTACCGCAAAATTACTTGGAATTCAAATTGACCAAGACCTTAATTGGGAAGCACAGATAGCAGATATGTCTAAAAAACTTGCATCAAAAATATTTCTCCTAAATAAGATAAAAGATCATTTACCTTACGAGACAGGAATTTTGTTTTATAACAGTTACATACTACCAATATTTGATTATTGCTCTATTATTTGGGGAAATGCTACCAAAAGTAGATTAGACATTCTTTTAAAATTACAAAAGAGGGCAGCAAGAACTATTCTTGATGCACCGATTGAAACTCCGTCCACCTCTTTATTTACTAAACTCGGTTGGCTTACCCTTACACAGAGGATTCTTTACAATAAAATTGTCTTAGCATTCAAAATTATTACATTTAATACTCCACTTTATCTAAATTTCTATTTTATTGAAAAATCTCTTGTTTCCAAAACGGATATCTTGCTCCGTTCACAGACCAGTAAATCTCTTTTTCTTCAAAATTGCAAAACGGAATCCATGAAACGTACTTTTCATTATTCTGCATGTCTTTTATGGAACAATCTGCCTTTCGATATAAAGATGTGTAAAAATGTTGAAAATTTTAAGATTAAACTGAAAAGTCATTTATTTTGCACACTGAAGGAACCATAATATTCAACTGATGACATACTTATTGTCCCCCGCCTTTCGAAGAAAGCAGGGGACTATTAAAATGGGTTCGTCCGTCTGTCTGTCCGTCTGTCTGTCCGTCTGTCCGTCCGTCTGTCTGTCCGTCTGTCTGTCCGTCTGTCCGTCCGTCTGTCTGTCCGTCACACTTTTTGGGACACAATAACTCTCTTCCTAATTGAGCTAGAATGTTCAAACTTGGTGTATGTGTTTATTAGGTCAATGCCTTGATGGAGTTCGAAGATGAGCATTTTCCGCTTAGGGTAAGCAGAGATAAGCAATTTGATTGGTTGATGCTTTGGGACACGATAACTCTCTTCCTAATTGGGCTAGAATGTTCAAACTTGGTGTATGTGTT